GGACAGAAATATTTAATATGCATTTTTGTGTGTTGCTCAACAGGTCTGGTCTATGTGAAACAAAACCTTGACCAGATGGCAGAGGCAGCGGTGGAGCAAGTCGTGTCACTTTCATCAGATGAAGAAGACTTCTTCTCCTCAATGAAGTCCAGAAGGTCACAAGGTACAGGGGAGCTAGATGGCTATCTTGCTTGTGTCTCACACAACATGGATCTGTTGAACTCATTTCCACACACGGGATGATCTGCACTGGAATTACTATCTCCCTTAATGTTTAAAATGTTTGTTTTTTTATTCTTTTTTTAATTAAATTCCATTCTTGCACTTTAATTTGTAAAGGTGTTCCTTAAATTAAAAACAAATAGTCTGAGATTTATATCCACTTGTCTTTTTTGAACTACAACTATACTAGAATCCTTGCTGTTTAAAAAAGTAACTCAGTTACTTTTACTCAGAGTAAGTTTTTAATGAGTTACTTTTACTTGAGTAGATTTTTAGCCTGGTAACTTTACTTGTACTTCAGTAAAATTTCACTGAAGTAACAGTACTTTTACTTGAGTACAAAATTTTATTACTCTTTCCACCTCTGCTTATAAGTAAAGTTGCATTATGGACATTGTGATCACTTATAATTGCCATTAGGGATGGTTAATAGGTCGCTCAGGTGGACGGTGTCAGATGTTTGGAGTATGCTTATAAACAAGGGGGATCTTTAAAAACTGTTTTAAGATTACTTTTTTAGTGCACTTTGAATCCAGCTTTCTTTATGTTGTCTCTCCCTAATTCTCTGAACGATATGCTAAACTATGTTTAGCATAAAGATCATCAGAGCTGCAAATATGACGTATTCTATTAAACTGACTAATTGGAAGACTCTTTTTAAGAGAAGTAGGATGAAAACTCCTGCCATATAATAATGTATTTTTTGTTGCTTTACTATAAAGGTCGGTTATCAATTTATCATGCTCTTTAATGATTAAAATATCCTAAAACAAACTTAAGTAGTCATAAGTAACTGTAAATTTCAGATGGCTGTTCTCATTCAAAAACCAAAGGACTATATCATCAATGTACCTTTTGCCAAAGACCAATATGGTAAAAAAAAGGATTGGCAGAGGGATTCAACACCCAATGTTGCTTTTAACCGCTAATAGAATCTTTATACATAAAAAATTGTTTTGCTGTATCAATTTGGTTAATTCTTTTATGCAAGCAATTCCAAGACTAGTATCTGAATGTGAGGATCATAAATAAAAACCTACTGTATCTATGCTGCCCTCATGTGGTATATTAATGTACAAGTAGTGTATCACGAGAACCATTTTATCAATGGGAAAATCAATATTTTTTAAAATCCTAATTATGTCAGTAGTACCTTTTACATAAGAAGGCAATGAAATGACATGAGGGTTCAAAAAAACTGTCAGCAAAAGTTGATATTTTCTCAGAGAGCCTGGTCCTTTCTAGTAACCTAGAAAAACAGCTGTGACACAAGCAGCACCGTTCACATGCTTGTCTGCATACACTGTGCTAAGGAGCAAAAAGTGCAGTACTGTACATCCGCCCCAAAGCTGATCAGCAAATCATTTATGAGTGACATGGGAGAATTGTCCTTGAGAACACCTAACTTTGCACAGCGAAACATGACAGTCTAACGATAAAGGAAATTTTGAGATGACGGATGAAAAAGTGACAGCACCAACATGTTCAGGAAGTCTCTTTACTAGCCTGCACTTGCCCCATCTCAGGACCTAGGTTGATGTGTATGGAAGACATTTTTATTGGCATGTCATTCAGTGCTCAGTTTTTCCCTCGCACTGATATCCAATACTCAGCTTTAGACTTCATCTACTTCAGAGTCACATCAGTTGCAGACACCAAGTGTTTCAAATTAATTGGCATTTATGTCAACATTGTCACCACAAAAAAGATTTCTGATTTAATTTTCTGTACCAGACGTTTATTGCTTTTGAGTGAAATACTTGCAAAACTGAACATACATTTTACTGTGACAAAGAATTCTCAGCATAGTGTACTAACTCCATAAATACAGGGTGCAACAAACTCAGTTGTAGGGCCTCCTTAGGTGCTGCCACAATGTCCTTATGATCCAGTGACGACCATCCTCCACAGGCCACTGCAATGACATCATCCTATGTGGTGCTGGTATTGGGGTGGCTCAGGAACCCACGGTGGAGGCAAGGCTGTGTGTTGCAGCAGTTAAGCTATCTCTGCATATCTATTATCTGTGCTGGACATTTTTTAGTCTCAGCATATTGCACTAATTGTAAATCACTGTGTAGCTCAACTACACAGACAGTGTAACTTGTGCAAACAGGAGCTCATCTCAGGATTAGTTTCTATTTGTAAATGGTGTTAAGTATTTATGCATGAAAAAACCACAAAGGTCTATATTTTTGTGTGCTTTTATTACGTATTAACTTATTTTAACACTGCTTCTATGAACCCCTTTGAAACCCCCTCATGACACAGTGGGGAGGTTCCTGATCTCCAGGTTAAGAGCTGCTGAACTGCAGCAAACCTACTGTACAGACATACACACACACTGCTGCTATGTTCATACAGGCTGATCACCTTCTAGCACTAGTTGTTTTTCTACTATCACTATAGAGAGGAATCATTTTGTGTCATGTACTTGTGTCAGCACTTTTTCTTCCTTGCAGCTTTACTTGAGAATTTTCAGTATCTGTTACTTCATACTTTGACTTTACTACATTTTAGTCAAATATTGTACTTTTTATTCCACTACATTTATTTTATAACTTTACTTACTAGTTAGTTTTCACAACCAGATGAATACAAAAAATGCAGTATAATTATAAAATACATTATAATTATCAGACCTCACTGCTGTAATTCAAATTAAATGCATATAAGCCAGTTAAACTAGTCCCCCACCCTTTTACCAGCTGCAACATTAAATGTGACGTACGCAATAATGCATCAGTAATTGTAATACAATGATGTGATACACAATGTGAATGTGAAATGTGCCATTCTGCATATTGAGTTCTTTTATTTGTCTTTATAATGTCTTTCCTTTGTGCAGGTAACTGACATAAACCTATGATGTTATATTTGGGCATCTGGAGTTTAATGTGATTTGTCTTTGGTGTAAGGAGCTGTTGAACGTTTACAACGAGATACATTATTGATTTGTCTGAAGGTTGGTTTTAACGGGATTTGTGTTTTACTCTGAGTGAATTTATTGGACTTCTGGCTCATACATTCTGACATTCAGATAACAGTGACCTAAATGTTTTACATGTCCAGAATGTCTGCATCCATGTGTTGGTTGCCCTGGCTCTTGACCCGGTGGCCCTCCTCAGCCCTCTCTCTGCTGCTTCTCAGTGTAGTGGGCAAACAGACAGACCTGAAGGTGGTTCAGGCGATAGTGTGTTCCCAGTGGGGTGCACCAAGGAATGAGAGCCTCACTCAGGATGGAGATGTGATTATTGGTGGACTTTTTAACCTACATTACATACCTTCAGCTTTAGACCACGGCTTCACCAAGCCTCCACATTATGAACCTTGCACTGGGTAATTACAACATGCACTATGTTATTACTAGATATCAGTTCATTTTATGACAGTACACTTGTATTTTTTGTCATGCTCAAAAAAAATCCTCACTTCACAGAGTTTAAAATATTTACTTTTTGTTGAAATAGTCTAAGAGAGTTGTTGATTCAGGTGTAGTTTGTGAGAGAGGTGTGTCTGTTGTCTATTCTATCCTGGACATGACAACAGCACTACAAAAGTTGAATGTGCACACACACCCATACACACCTACATGACATGTCTTTTGTGGTCTCAGTTTAGATCTGGAGCCATTAAAATATATGTATGCTATGGCTTTTGTGGTGGAAGAAATCAATCGTAACAGCACATTGCTGCCAGGAGTGAAACTGGGCTACCGTATATTTGATTGCTGTGGCCGATACCCCTGGGGATTGAAAACTGCACTGGACCTGGTTGGAGGAAGCAAACAAAACTGCAACTTATCCACATCTACGCCTCAGTCTGAAAATTATGAACAACCTGGACAAACAACAAGTATGACCTGAACTAATTTAGTATACTTTTAACATTTGCTATGTGCATGAAATCATCAACTGATATTCATTTACTATGTAAAAATTGTCCTTCTGTCTAATGCTTTCATCAGACGGTCAGTCTGTTTCTTTGGTCATTGGTGGTTCCTCGTCTACACTAGCAATAATTCTGTCAAGGATTCTGGGGCCTCTCTCTGTGCCAGTTGTGAGTTTCTTTATCTGAAGGGATAAACTTCTGATGAGTCTTTTTATATATTCTATATTAACAGGCTTATAAAATGAAACATTTCAACAATTGGTATTATTGCTGTAAAAAATTAACTATAAAATTATAATAGTTTTGTATTTTTCCCTCAGATCAGTTACTTGGCTAGTTGCCCATGTCTCAGTGACCGGCATCAGTTTCCGAACTTCTTCAGGACAATCCCCGTATAAAATTATAATAGTTCTGTATTTTCGCCTCAGATCAGTTACTTGGCTAGTTGCCCATGTCTCAGTGACCGGCATCAGTTTCCGAACTTCTTCAGGACAATCCCCAGTGATATTTACCAAGTCAGGGTCATTGCACAACTGGCCATACGATTCCACTGGACTTGGATTGGAGCTGTGCTTGAAAACACTGACTATGGTCAACTTGCCTTACAGGTGTACTGTATGTTTTTGTCATAAATGTATGTTCTAAATAACCTAAAGAAATTTCATGTATCGGACTCACATACGTATACAAATATATGTGTCACTATTGGTGAGGTTTTAAATTTATCATTTCAGGTTTTTCACGAAGAGATTACAGGTAAAGGGGTTTGTTTGGAATTCATAGAAACTGTCCGCAGTGAAACAATTGTGAGTGATGCCAGACGTGTTGCCCTCATCATTCAAGCTTCATTTGCCAGGGTGATTCTGATCTTTTGCTGGTTCATTGATGTAAAGCAACTATTTCTGGAACTGGCCACGAGAAATGTGAGTAACTACACAATTCATCTTTAAATAAAGATTTTGTTTAGAAAACAAATGTCAGGCTTTTTGTCTTGATGGAATTTATTTCTATGTCATCCTGCTGTAGGTGACTGACAGACAGTTTGTGGCCAGTGAGGCCTGGAGCACCAGTGATGATCTTCTCCAAGATCCTGCCATCTCAAAGGTGGCAGATGGTGTTCTCGGTGTGGCCATTCGAAGTTCAACAATACCTGGATTTGAATATTATCTGAGAAAGTTGCACCCACTTCAGAGGCCTGATGACGAATTCCTGAGAGAACTGTGGGAAACAGAGTTTGGATGCAGTCCTGAAGACGTACCTCTCTTTTCACATTCATCTTCACCCTTCACAACAAAGTCTAATCATTTCTCAAATGTTTCTACTTCATCTTTTGCCAAGAGGTCTCTTCAGAAAGCTTCTCTACCACCGTGCAAAGGTACAGAGTCCCTGGAGGGAGTGCAGCATCCCTTCACTGACACCTCCCAGCTAAGGGTGTCATATAATGTCTACCTTGCTGTTTATGCTGCAGCCCACGCCCTTCACAGCCTTCTGTCGTGCCCCAGCATAAACTCTCCCAGAAACAACATTTCCTCTTGTTCCTCTCCAAAACACATCAAGCCCATAGAGGTAACCATGAATGTCACTGTGTCCTCTTAATGACTACAGTGATTGTTGTTAATGTTTTGATGAACTGAATATGATACAGTAAATGCAGTGTTCATATAGTGAAATATCAGCAGTTTCTCACATTTGATGCTTTCAGCTGTTGCAGCACTTGAACAATGTGACCGTCACCACACCACAAGGGGACATGTTTTATTTCCATGGTGCTGACATTCCAGCAACGTATGACCTTGTCAACTGGCAGAACACTCCTGAGGGGCCCCTGAAACTCGTTTTGATTGGTCGTGTGGATGGAACTGACATCCACCTTAATGAGTCAGCTATTCAGTGGAGCACAGGATCCAATCAGGTAAACAGATCAATAAACTGTCTCAAGGCTATTAACAAATATGCCTCTTTTTTATTCTGAATCCTTTTTGGGTTTGTGTATAGGTCCCTGTTTCAGTGTGCAGTGAGAGCTGCCCTCCAGGTACCCGAATGGCCAACAGGAAAGGGGAACCTGTCTGCTGCTTTGACTGTATCCCATGTGCTGAAGGGGAGATTAGCAACAAAACTGGTGAGGAAACATAAGGTGTTCCTATAAATAGTTTATACAGTCACCACTGCAGTAACTCCACAACTTTCAATAGGCATTAGTCATGATTTTTTATAATGCTTTTCAGCTTATCTACATTTTTCCCAAGTTTTTTCTCCTTCCTGATTTTGTGTGCCTTCCTCTTCCAGGTTCCCTTCACTGTGAGCGTTGTCCATCTGAGTTCTGGTCCAACGTTGAACGAACTGCCTGCATCCCTCCCCAGCTGGACTTCCTTTCCTTTAATGAGGCTTTGGGTATTACCCTGACTACAGCAGCTGTGTCGGGTGCCATGGTGACAACAGCTGTGTTTGTGGTGTTTCTTTACTATCGTCACTCACCTGTGGTAAGAGCCCAGCATAATGTAACAGAGTATGTTGCATTTCTTTCTTTAATTTTATTGACTATGAAGAATAAAAAAAAAGTCTCTAACTCTTTAACTGACCACATCTGTGGCTGTTAATTTGGTTTCCCTCAAGGTGCGAGCCAACAACTCAGAACTGAGCTTCCTGCTTCTTCTGTCACTGAAGCTCTGCTTCCTGTGCTCACTGGTGTTCATTGGTCGTCCATCAGTCTGGTCTTGTCGGCTCCAGCAGGCAGCATTTGGGATCAGCTTTGTTCTTTGTGTTTCCTGCCTTCTGGTAAAAACCATAGTGGTTCTGGCAGTTTTCCGCTCAGCTCGGCCTGGTGCTGAAGCCTTGATGAAATGGTTTGGGCCGCTCCAGCAGAGAGGAAGTGTCTGCTTCTTCACCTGTATACAGGTGGGATACTGTTCTAGTCATTAAATGATGAGAACATCTTATTTTTTTGTATCAGAATCTTCAGTTGATATTAAATAATAACAAAGAAATATGTGCACTTTGCATGCAGGTTATTATCTGTGCCACCTGGCTTTTCCTCAGCCCCCCAGTGCCTAAACATGATTTGGGTTTCCAAGGGTCAAAGGTCACCTTGAAGTGTGCCATGGCCTCTGTGGTGGGCTTCTCACTGGTACTGGGCTACATTGGCCTGCTGGCCTGCACCTGCCTCCTCTTGGCCTTTCTGGCTCGGAAACTTCCTGATAAATTCAATGAAGCCAAACTGATCACGTTCAGCATGCTGATCTTCTGTGTTGTCTGGGTGACCTTTGTCCCAGCTTACATTAGCTCTCCTGGGAAGTATGTTGTTGCTGTGGAAATCTTTGCAATTCTTGCCTCTAGCTATGGTTTACTGCTCTGCATTTTTGCCCCAAAATGTTTCATCATTCTTTTAAGACCTAAGAAAAACACTAAGAAACACTTGATGTCTCGATAGATTTTCTGTTTTGAGAGTGATCATATTTGTTGTAATCATACTTAATAATCCATATAGTAATCATATAGTAATCCAGAATGGATTACTATAATAATACTATACTATACTATATTAAAAACAACAGCAGATAGAGAAAAGATAAAACTAATGTGGTTTATTTTACACTTAAAGAATTTGCCATTCTGGCTAACAAAGGTAGGCTACTAATGTACTGAATTAAGTTGTGTTGGCTTTGGAAGCTGGATTACAAAAAAGTTGCAATAATATTCATAATTAACATATTAGACTTTGCTTCTAGGCATTGAGAGCCAAGCAGAAGACTTCCACTGTTCTCTGGACTGTCTCTCCTTATCAGATGGAGATCCCAGATCCTGTCTCCAGAGACCACAAACCCCCTGTCCTTGTACTTTCTTGCATTAGAATGCACAGCCCTGCCATCACACCTTTGACTTTTGGCAATAAATTTCAATTGCTTCCTAGACATCTGATCAGTTTTCAGTGTAATGAAACACAAGAATGCAAAGGAAACCTCCCTTATCTCTACACAAGAATGTGAAAGTGCTATAAACTGACTTAGCACACACTCTCACTCACTCTGGCCATGTGGAATCTCCAAAGCTAAATGGCTAACTTCTGCTAACAGATAAGTGCATTCTGGCTAACTGATGTCTCATGCAAACCGTAGTTATTAGTCACCAAATTAAAGTCTATAGCTTATAGCAATTGACAGTGTAGTCATTTCTGCTACATAATCATTAAGCAGAGCATAACAAAAAAGAAAACAAGATGCTTAGATGTAATGCTGCCCATTCTCAAAAAGCTTACACATCCCTTAAATTCTTGGGTTGTCTTCCATGAACTGCATGTTTGAGATTTCTCCAAAGTGGCTCAATGATATTGAGGTCAGGATACTGTAATGGCCACTCCAGAATCTTCACTTTGGTCTGCTGCAGCCACCAAAAG